ATCTCACTATCATCACCTAAATGTAATTAGGGGAGCTCCAGTCACCACTATTAGGTTCAGGTCAGCTTCTCATGCCAGGACCTCGTTCTGTGTGAGTTTTATGTGAGGCAGATCTGTGTGAGTTCAAGGCTAGCCTGGAACTCACTATTATGTAATAACCTGTTAGGTTCATAGACCATCCTTATTGTTGCATTCAGGGATAGACACTGCAATCAATTCCATATCTTAGCTATTGTGAATACTGCTGCAATAAAGAAGAAAGTGCAAGTATCTTGCTGTTGGAATGACTTTATTTCCTTTGGCGTGCTGGGTCATATGAGAGTTCTGTGTGCTTTTAAAGCTCTCTATATCTACTGTCTTCCATTACAGCCATACTGATTTCCATCCCCACCAACAAGCACCATACTGAAAACACATGATTATCCCCTCCTCAAGGAAGTAATAAATCAGAAAGGCAGCCAACTTTTAAAAATAATGCTTACCTCATCCATTACCACCTTGGGAAGACAAACAAGGAAAAATAAAGTAGGTAACAAAATGAAAAACCCTGAGTTAAATGCCACCGTTTCTATTTGGAGCCCTGAACTCCAGCTCCACAGAGACCGATTCAGCTGTGAGGTTTGTGTAAACAAAGTGTGACTGCCGCACTGCAGGCTCACTCCACTTCAGCCTAGCTCAGCAGGGTAAGTTTGTCTCGGAATTTTATTCAGTTACACAAAAGCATGGCCAAACATAACTAGCTCTGCAGACAGCATTTGCAGTTAACACTTGATTTTTAGACTTTCATGGTTACCTTTGCTTGGGAGGAAGTATAAGTCTTAAAACCCTTTAGTTTGAGACCTGAGGCAAATCATGTTCTACCACTGTGTTGCTCCCAGCGTGAACTGTGATACCTATTTCAGAAGGTTGAATACACAGATGTATCTACAAGTTAAATATTGTTTGATATTAGCACAGTAATTATAGGTCCCAACACATAGCTATGTACATTAGCCATAGTTATGCACAAGTTCTTATCCATAGATTCTGCCTTCTATGTTGTAGCCAACCAAAGATCAAAAATATTCAGGAAAAAAATACCAGTGCAGACTTTGTTATCATTATTCTCACAACACAATAGTGTAGCAACTACTTGTAGTCTGTTCACATTGTGCTACATAGTATACAAAATCTAAACAGGATTTTAAAATGTATAGAAGAGCCGGGCATGGTGGCACACACCTTAACCCTAGCATTCAAGAGGTAGAGAAAGGTGGATCTCTGTGAGTTTGAGGCCAGCCTGGTCTACAGAGTGAGTTCTAGGTCTGCCAGGGCTACATGAGAGCCTGTCTCAAAAATAAAAAATTAAAATGTACAGGAGGACTGTATAAGTTTTATGATAATACTATGTCGTTTTATATAGAGAATGTAGACTGGCACTAACCCTCCAGACACTCGGGGGAGCCACTTAGAAATGAACCCTGAACTCTGAATCCCACCAAGTAAAACAAGGCAGGTGAGAACGGCATCCCCAGGGATTTAGGCCAGGCCCAGCAGGGCCTTGCTGTCTGTCTCCTGCACACAGACATGCTATGAAGGGCTGTAGACACAGGAAAATTGCAGTGGCTGGAAGAGATGGCATTCTTCCCTCACTTTCCCTACAGGAAACCCCAAACCATTTACAGTAACCTCAGTCACAATGGAGACACGAAGTGAGCACACCAGAGAGGGAGGTGGACAGGTGCGGACTAAAGCTCTTCCTGACCCTTGTGTATAAAAGGCTTGCAAAGAGAGGTCAGAAGACCCTAATGCTAAAAGCAAAAGGTTTAAGCAGTTTGTACACACAGTGCCTGACGGCTGGCACTGCGATGTAGTGTGGTTTCACAACAGAACCAGATGCCACATAAATTCTTCCTCTACAAGTCACTTTGGGTCATTATGTTTCAGAACAGAGTCAGAAAAGTCACAAATAACCTTGTCTACTCATAATACCAGAAGACACATAGCAAAGGGCAACAGGAACCATGGGAAGGCACACGCTTGGTCATGAAATGTCCCAGTCACCAGGATGATACCATGCTCCTGTGGTCCTCAGAACAGATTTTCCAGTGCACAGCCAGCAGCTGGCCTCCCAGTGCTAAGGAGTCCTTGTAAAGAGACTGCCTCTGTATGTCATGAGCTGGAAGACATGTAAAGCGCATGTCTGCTCACCAATGCATGCAGCGCAGGCAGCCGCGTACTGTGTGCTGTAAGCTGAGGTACCCTGGAAGCTATGACGGCTGTTGTAATGCTCGAAGATAAAAACCATGCTTTTATTTTCCTAAAGTCTCAGTATGTATCCATCATTTATTTATTCCCATTGGGCTTGATTTCAGTCTATCAGTGTTTATCATAGAAACTCATTTTAATTGCATGGTTTGGGGCATTTTCCCACTTTCTCTTTAGGGCATCTTACAGCACCTTCCCACCACAGGTCAGTTCTTCTGGCCATTTATTAGTCTTTACTACTGGGTAAGGTAGCTTTCTGAAAGATAAATGAATTTCACTCTGTCTTTAAATATTTATGTTTCTTTATGATCTAATATATCATCATGGTTATAGGGGAATTTTCCTCTGACGATAGAAAATGTGCCATCAGTTACCTGTCCATTTTGTTTAATAACTCCGCTTTGCAGTTTTGGTGCACTGTTCATCTGAGGCTCAGAACTCCTCTAGTCTCTCCATTGCCTTCAGAGTCATTCTGGGATGTATAAAGGTCGTCAATACACAGAGGATATTGAAACATTAAGTACTTAAATGGTGTGCCCTTTGTCACTCATCACACTAGACAGTCCAGGTCCAGTGTTCCAGGCATCTTTGTCTTGTTTACTCCCAGCGTGGAATGGCAGGCTCTGTAGAAAACCAGCCAGTCTCCCTGGAAACAATTCATCAGACTTTTCAAAAGAAATCCAATTTCATCTGGGCTGATGGGCTCAGTGTTGCTTTTTAAGATAAATGATGAAAATATCAATATCATAATGCAGAGAACTCAAATTATTTTTGCTTAATCTCAGTGAAAAGTATCACAAACCAGTTACCACTTCTGTAGCTCTTCTAGGTCTTAGGCATCTTGGAGGTGGGAGGGTTGAGTAGCTATTCTCTCCCAAAGACCCTGGTGTGGAACCTTTCACCGTTACAGTGCCAGGCTGTAAGCCTGCAGGCCTCCATACGCCTCCTGACACCCAGATAGTTCTGCATGAAACATTCTGAGGTGAGAAGGTCCAGGTTTCATGGAGCCCCAAGTTCCTACTCCATTTGATAAGTCCAAATGTGTACACGTCTTCTTCTTGAGCGATATAAAATGGATATTTTCATGAAGTTTCCTAAAACAGCTTTCTCTCACATGTGTGCATCTACGGTAAACAGAACTAAGGTCCTTAAGAAACATAACATAGGTCCTTCATTCATAAAGTAAGGGAAGCGTCTGAGAGGAAGCTTATGTGTGTCATGGGGCATATGATGCGGTAGGACAAGGAGCACATGATGCTCCTTCCTACAGCATAATTTCTAGACTGAGATTTCTTACTATCTCATATACATGGAGTATAACACAAAGCTCATGGGCTTTGTGATAAACATGCAGCCTCAGAGCGTTTTCTGATTATTGATGATACTGTTTTCCCAGAATCCTCTAAAGTGACTTTGTCCTCTTCCATCAGAGGTACTTCTGTCCACAACCAAGGTTGTGCTTGGCCAATGCTTTCTAAATACCTGGTGATGTGTTTATTACTTTTCTTGTGGTAACCAAATATCTGGTAGCACCCTACAACAGGAAGGGTTTATTTTGGCTCAAAGTTGAAGGGGAGGTAGTGCATCATAGTGGAGAGGCCCTAGCTGTTCACTCTAGGCCAATCAGACCTTCCGGGCACCACCTCTTCACATCAGCATGAATCGGGAGGCAGAGGGTGTTAGGAAGATGCAGAGGCAGTGTGTGGTGCTCAAAGGCCCGCCTTGAGGGTCCTGCACCCACCAGCTGGTTCTTGCAACCAGCCTTTCCATAGCCAACCAAAAATCCACCAACAGCCATGGTTATGGTGTCCACAGTCACACCATAGCCGGTCTCATGAGGCTAAAGTAAGTCCTCATGTGAAACCACAACAGAAAACTAATTTTCAGAAGACTCCACACTTGACAGGGCCAAACAGTGCTCCTGGGACACTCATGAAGTAATTTGCCCATCTGAAACAAACAGGTTCATTCTTCCACCTTCTACCACTCAAGATTATCATTTCTGCTGTTCTCATCAGTTAGAAAAGAAAAGCTAGCGGAGACATCAGAACTCTTCCCGACCTCATCCCCCTTGAAAAAGCAATTATAAAGCTCTTGAAGTATATTCCCATATGGAATGTTGGCTTCCTTCTCCCAAAATGTGAGGTTTGAAGGGTTGTTTTTTTTTTTTTTTCCTTCCCCCAAGATAGCCTTGATGAAGAAGAAAAACTCAAGGCCCTGAGTGTAGGAATGCAGGTTCCTGAGCCAGTGGTCCTAATTTAATGGGTAGGGTCACTGTGGTGCCCACATCTCTTCAGCCAACTCTGCCTGCTTCTAGCCCATCAGCCTTGGTAAAGCTTTCCCACAGGAAGGAAAACAGTGACTCTCCCCCGGGAAGCCTCTTCTGTTAGCCATTGCTAATGGGCAGGGCACACCAAGTCGCCTAGTACTACCCTTAGTTACTGCTGTAAAAGTGAATCTTTACAAGCGCCGCCTTCTAAGTGCTCTAGATAAGTCAGTTCATGCTAATACCCTTAACAAGTAGGCAACAGTATTATCCTGGTCAAAGAGAAGAAAGGCATATGCTTCCCAGAGTTGCCAGTAGTGAGGGAGGGAGCGGGGAAGAGGTTGAGCGGGACAGAACTTGCCTTCCAGGTAATCAGTAGCTGTTTGTGAAATAAGTAAACATATTAACATACAAATAACAGAATGTGCAAATGACCTGCCATGCTGGTGGAGAAAACGCTGAACAAGGCTCTGTCTTCATTTCCCAGGCAGTACTACGAGATGCTGTACAACACAGCCGACGAGCTCCTGAACCTGGTGGTGGATCAGGGCGTGAAGTACACAGAGCTGGAGTATACCCACGCCCTGACCCTGCTGCACCGCAGCCAGACTGGCGTGGGTGACCAAACCACCCAGAACACCAGGCTGCAGAGGCTCAAGGAGATCATCTGTGAGCAGGCCGCCATCAAGCAAGCCACCAAGGACAAGAAAATAACCACCGTCTGAGGGGCTGCGCCACAGCCGGGGGGTGGGGTGTGGGGGGGTTCATAGTGTGTTGTCTACACTGATGGCCAATGGGTAGAAGGGGAATTCTTTTGCTTTTCCGTGGGAACTCTTAGGACGTTTGCAGTACAGGATATCTGTGGAACTTCTTTAGTGCAGTCTATTCCCAGGGGATGGGGGTGGGACAGGGAGGAGGGCGCGGCAAGTTGCTGAACTCAAAATGGACTTAAGGAAAGCCATTGCTACCTAAGCTTTCGGGCCATCCTGAAACTACTTAAGAAGGCCTGTGGCCTAAGCAAGTGTGCAGTTTATACTTTAGTGAAGTAAGTGTGTGCACAGCGCTTTGACTCCATTGCCAAAATCAAGAAAGTGCTTCTCAGCTGGCTTCCCTCCCCAAACCAGATCTCTAGGCCAGGGGAGAAAGCAGAGGTTCTTTATCCTGACCCTGGGAAGGTTTGTATGCTATAGCGCTATAGCGAGTGAGTACACAGGCCGCTGGTTGGTTTCACACCTTTTTGTTTTGCCGGAGGGATGGCCCAACTGTTAGGAGCTCTGGCTGGCCTGCCAGAGGACTGGGGTTCAGTTCTTAGAACCTGCATGGAGGCTCACAACCCTCTGTAATTTCAGTTCCGCTGGCCTGCCAGCTGGCCTGAAGCCTCTTCTGGCCCCACAAGCACTGCATGCATGTGCACAGACATACATGCAGGAAAAACTGCTTTACACATAATGTCAAAATTTAAAACTTCAAACTAGTGCTAAGACTAAAAGGGAGAACTGCCCACCTCACCTCCGCTTCATCGAGCGTAAACTGAGAGCGCCCTCATGTTCCCCTGCACACTGTGTTAATGGTCTCATTGCTGTGACTAAAACAAAAGCAGCCCAAGAGTGGAAGGTTTATTGGCCAACACTTAACAGGCATGACCATCCTGACAGGGAGGTCGAGGCAGCAAGAGCTTGAGGCAGCTGGCCACATGACGTCTGCATGCAAGAACGCTGTGTCCGGCTAGCTTTCTCCTTTTCCGACTGCCCATTGAGTGACTCCCCCACATTCAGAGTGGACCTCCCCCGCTCAGTCCGTATACCTTAAATCATTCCTCACAGACAAGTCCTATCCTAGTTGGCTGCTGTTGCTGTGATAAAACACTGACCAAAACCAACACTCACATACACACACACACCAAGTACACACACACAATATATGTATATATATTTAAAATTTTTGACAATGAAAAAGTTAAGCAATTAGTATTATAATAAACATTGAAAATACTGAAAAATTCAGAGAGGAATAAAACAACAAATATTTAATATAAAGCAATACATCTCAATTCTGTTCAATAGAGAGCAAGGAAATGGGACATTTTTCCTGTGTTGCTACCAGTGATGCCTCTTTTTTATTTGTTTGTTAGGTTTTTTGTTTTTGTTTTTGTTTTGAGACAGGGTTTCTCTATGTAGTTCTGGCTGTCCTGAACTTACTCTGTACAACCAGCTAGCTGCTAAGCCTTTTGAAATGCCCGTTCCTGTTCGGGTACCTGCAGTGCTCCTGGCCATATGGACCTTGCCACTGCCCCAGGCCCTCATGCTCTTGCTACTTGAGATCTTGCTACATAGATCTCAGGGGGCAATACTATACCAACAAGGATAAATGAACATGCTTGAACACACATGGGAAGAAAAGCCAGAAGGGCTGGCCATTTAAAGTCGCTCAGAGACCCCCGAGGGACGGAATTTTCACACCTGCTTGTAACAACTTTGGTCTGGATGGGAATAACCAAAAATTAAAACCTGTTTTGAGAAGCTTAAGTGCTGTGTGTTGTTTTTCTCAGATACTTTTTTCAGCAAACCTTTCCCAAGAACCTGATGTGTGGCACTACTGCCACACGTGGTCCAGAGACAGAGGACACTTTCTTATGGAATTTAGGAACTGGGCTAGAACCCAACGAGTTCACACCCAAAGCTGAGCCAGAAACCAGGTGGGCAGTGAGGCAAGGAGCCAGCAGGCAGCTGCAGGGTGGCCTTCGAAGAGGAAGGGGAGCAACACAGCTGTGTGGTTTAGAATCCTATCAGAAGAAATTGAATGCATGCAGAGGGTGTCCATGGAGAAGAAGGTTCTTAAACAAGGTTCTTAAGAGTCCACCCAAGAAGCAGGCGTGGCAGGAGGAGCCGAGAGCTCTTGGAGTGGACCACTTCTGTTTAGAAGTTCTCTGTAGTGGCTGAGGCCTCCTAGCTTGGATTGTTGGCCTCTGTTCCTCCTCACCTATGCTGAGTGTTCAGGGTGGTTTCCTGGGTATAAAAAGGGGGGAGAAACTTGGGTTGAGAGGAATGGTGGGAAAAGTGGGAGCCAGCAGTATCCAGGCACAGGAGCTGCTTCAGAGAGCATTGTGAGAGTGGATCCCCTCGTTCTACAAAGGTGGCAGACCAGAAATGCCAGTTGTACACAGAAAGAGGTCATGGGGCCTTTGTCCAAGGCGTTCTAACACAAGTAATTCATTCAGCTGACATGATCTTTGCATATGATTGCCTGTTACAGCTCAGGAGACATAAGATCTATGCAGTGGCAACCAGAATTGTCCTTGTGGTGTGATTTGGCATTTTCTTGGCTTCTTGAAACGAGTGATCTTGCTTTTGCTAAGTCCACACATTCTCTCAATTCTCTAACACTAACCTTTCAGTCAAGAAGCCATTGCATAGGATTAAGGACTGAAATCTTCAGCCTGACTCCCTGCTACCCAGCTCTAAGTTGTTTGAAGTTTTGGAAACTCATAACTGTCACTGTTCGTGTGCCTTCACTTGCCAGCGAAGATTGGCAGCTCCTGCATCGTCAACTCCTGATGGAACAAATGAATCCCTGCTTCAAGGGCTCTGTGAATGGACCAGGGCTATTCCATTCAGGATTTTTGCTCTGAGACATGGCAATGGCTACCTCCCCAGGACCAGGGCACAAAAGCAGGCTGACAAAGAATGAAGCAGACCATAGTCCAGGCAACGGACTCAGCAAATCCAAGTGGATTCTATCCATCCAGGCTAAATGTGAACAGAGACGGGAAAATGGCTTACCTCCCACAGGATATGGGAACGAGTTGTGTTCTGGTCAAGGAAGTGTGGGTTGAAAGGCACAGTATGTTGTAATGCACACCTGAGAGCAATTGTCTTAATGTGGCATGGATGTAAAACAAATTGGGCATAATGTGGAGGGAGGGTAATGAGGTACCAAGAAGAGGAAAACATAAAGAATTGCTAGGCTCCACAGAGATCTCAACTCTGTCCTATTTAGACACAGTTGCTATAAGAAGTACATAATTAGTAAGCATGTGACCAGATGTGGAAAACAACGGAGCTCTTTTCCTGACACAGACATGGTAATGAACTCTATGCAGCTGGAAATAGTTGTCCTGCTTTGGCTGCAGCACAAGGCCTGCCTGGAATTTTGAAGAGGTGTAGAAAGATGCACTGCATAGGTTTACACCTGGAAACAAGTAATCCTATTCCAGCAGGGCTGGGTAATGAGATGGAGCTAATTACCAAGAGTGTAATGAGGTTCGAGGGCCACTGGAGCTGAGCTGGAAAGCTCTCTGAAAGTGAACTAAGATGCAAACAGCAGAAAGAACTTCAGTGAACAGAATGAAGCATGAGGAGGAAGGAATGCATGTGACCCGAGGGGTTGTTGGGACATACCTGGCTAAAGACTGTCATGAGCTCATGTCTGTGATGGAAAATACTGCCAAGGTATTCACATACCTGGGAACAGGAGTCCCTGGGATCCCAAGAATTCAATGACCTGTAAAAACCGCATATGAATTTGCAAATGTATCTCAGCCTGTGCGTGCATAAACTGAAAAAAGGATGAAGCTGGGCACCTATAGGTGAGTGGAGTTCTCATTATCCATGATCCCTTGTAGAAAGGTGGCTGCAGACTCCTGCTGACCCTGCATAGATGTTCCAGAACTCCACACAGGAAAACCAAGCTTTTGCACAAGAATTTATTTGCTTAGAGAAACCAGGGAAGAATTTCTAACTGGCTTCTGTTATTGTTTTATTTTGTGATTGATTTTGCTAGTGCCTTATGGGAGACACCATTCCCTGAACACCCAATGTTTCTAATATGTGTTAAATTATTAAATCTCTACAGTGACCCTGTGAGAGACACTGTTGTTCCCACTTCACCAAGAATACAGAGGCTTAGATCAAGGACTGTGCCTAAGACCCAGTGTGTGGCCTTGCACTGCTTGGCACCAAGGTTCAAGCTGGGAGCCCCCGTCACCTTCTCTATTCGGAGGCAAATCTGTCTAGTATGGCAAAGAGAGAGTACCTCACCACTATGAACAGCAGCAACGTTCTCTGGCAGTCTGGCCCTTCTAGCCCCTCTGTTGTATCTCTGGCCCTCAGAGTGAGGCACTGCCGGGCCTAATCTGAGAAGCCTCTTTCCTATCTCTGCCTCTCTCTGGGCCTGGCTGTCTGAATAACATGGGTCATAACATCCGCATAGATAGATAGATAGATAGATAGATAGATAGATAGATAGATAGATAGATAGATAGATGAAGAATTACAAGCCCCCAAAGGACTAGAGACTGAAATAGCTGTCAAAAATGAAGCACCCTCCATCCAAAGGCAGCGGAGAACATAATTCCACACTCTGGTGTATCACAGCTCAGAATGTCACTTTAGCCTGTACAGGAGAGAAAACCAGCTTTCTCCTTCTACGCATGAAGGGCTCCTTGGCTGTGGCATCTGTGTCAAAAGGAGGAGGGCAGAGAAACATACAAATGTATTCAAAGTTTATAAGGCATAAGGACCTTTGTTAGAAAAGAGTAAGCAGAAGCTCATCTTCATCAGAGTGGCTGTGCCCACTTGCAGGAGACTCTTGTGATGGCATCTGCTGAGTGTTGAAGCTCCCTCAGAAGGGATGGCATGGAAGGTCATTGGGCCATCCCTGGAGAACCCAGCCACTCCTTCCTATGCCTCTGTACACTGTGGGGAATTCTGCCCTAATTGCACATGGTCTCAAGGTCTTTGGGGTGGTAGAGCACACAGTATGTAGGCGTTAACTGAAGGGGGTAGTGTCAGCAATGCAGCTGTGGAGGAGTCAACATTCACACTGAGACTTTCCCGTGGTGCAGCTGCTTTAAAGTGCTCGGCAAGAGAGCCCAATAAACTGTTTCCCCAACTTGAACTTGGGGAGATACTTGGATTATATCTGGTACCCTGTCTAAGGAGGGGAAGATATATTTGTTCATAACATCCCAAGAAATATTAGACAAGGGACATGAATCGACTAGGGAAATAGCGAGGCCCACTCGCTCTACTTCCTTACTGGATTCCTTCATCCTTAGAAATATGGAGGCCCCAAGCCTCCAGGCATGTGGAAGGCATCGCTCAGAAGGAGATCAGAGATGCCTGCTCTGGGGAGAAGGTGGGGAAGGCCAGAGATCCTTCCTTACCACAGAGATCCTCAGATTCTATATCCGTAGAATAGAGTTGGGGTAGTATGTGCGTAACCACCTTTTACAAGGGGCTTGATAATGTCCCTACTTCTCAGTTTCCTTTATCTGTGACATGGAAGGTACTACGATAGTTCCTGGTCAACAACAGTGCTGTATAAAGCATATGAAAGTCACTGCTGGACGTGGAATAAAAATTATGTGTTTATAGTGTATGTGTGTGTTTGTACCTAGCCAACAGTATTCTTACTACCATGTTTATTTCTTTGAGGAGCCCTGGTCGCAACTGAGAAGACTTGCTCTTTTGCACTCTTGGCTCAAGCATACCGCCACTTCCGGTTAGAAAGGCCAAGAGCCCTCAGACACCTGTTATGATTTCTTGCTTGAAGCTACCAGAGAACTAAGAGATAGACCAGGCCAGACCCACAGAATATCCTAGGGTTTTTTTTAATTTAATTTTATTTTATTAATTACATTTTATTCACTTTGTATCCCCCCATAAGCCCCCCTCCTTCCCTCCAAGTCCTACCCTCCTCCCCCTTCTTCACGCATGCCCCTCCCCAAGTCCACTGATACATGGGAGGTCCTCCTCTCCACCACCCCACCTTCCTCCAGACAGGAAAACTGCCTTAGGCGGCTGATCCCTTGAACTGCTCCCTTTAATTTGCTAGTGAAAGTTTGCATTTCCTTGCTAGCCATTCCCTGCATCTCATTAACTCTCAGGCCTTCACATCCCTGGGCCTTAGCAAGCTGAAAGGCCTTCTGCTGAGGCCTGGAGTTCGTCCCATCTATGCTGCAGAAAGTCTGATCATGATTGCTCACACATTCTCAAATCGCTCTGTGAAATAAGAATGGGGACAATATCACATTCTTTTGTGGTTTTAATTACCCTAAATCAGATGCCTGTCCAAGTTCTGAGCTTCCTCTTGCCATTGTCAGGAGGATCCCAACACAGTCACTGAGGTTTCCTCATGGGGTGGAAGGCTTCCTTTCTTTCCTGTGCTGACAACACCCAGTTGCAGAAGAGGAGAAAAAAGGGTGAAGATATCATCAAAGTCTCCTAATCAGTCACCCCTGTCCTGTGATGCTGGAGGTCCTCTCTAGTGTCCCCACGTGTCATCTGCAACCTCCAGGCCCCAGTGTCCAGCCTCCACATGTTCCTCTGAGAGCCTGGAGCCAGGCCCAGGTGGAAGAACATGGCTTCCATAGTTTCCTGTCCACTTTCTCAGCCTCAGGAATCCAGCACCCACTGGCCAGCTCTTCCTTCTCCCCTTCACTGATGACATCTCTTCTCCTTTCTGCTGCTGGGAAGTCAAGGAGCCTTCTTCTTGGCCTAACCCCTTCATAAAAATAGCCTGCTGA